AATATATATATGATCATTAAAAAATGACTGTTATTTATCGTAAATTATCTTGCATGTTTTCATCTGATTTGTGTTTAAAAATACACTGAACATGAGCAAAGTTTGTTTTCAATAATATTTCAGTGATAGTGATGATTTTACTCATAGAGTTATATATTTTTAATAGTCATACAAATTGAAATTGAATAATAAAGTGAATTGTACYTTATCAGCTGTGACATTTCGCCTGTYCAACTTTTCCCTGAAGAATTTCAGAGTGCCAATTTCTCGGACAGATTGTGAATCATATAGTTGATTGTAGATGAGCTGCATGTAAAATAAAAGTATTTTGAAGTTAGTTATTCATGATGTTATTCACSGAAACCATTAGGGATATTAGGTTGACTTACGTGTATTGTAGATTATAATTGATATAGTTCGAATGAAAGAATGCAAAGTGTTAATAATAAATATATATTCATGCCATTTGTATTGAAAATCATGTAAATACAAATCCCTAATTTATGTACCTGTACAAAAGACATTTTAGTGTGAAATCCTTCCACAACAAATGGGCTGCAATGCTCAAACCTGTCCTTCGCTGAATGGCTTCCCATACGGAGGTCTTTCGCACCAGCAAACCTCACTCTAGTCATTTGGTCCCCACCAAAGGGGACCGAAACCTTCTTCATGTGGTCATTAGGATCGGGTCTTTGGAAATGTGCATGTGGTTGATCTGGAGCTGAAGATTCTCCCTCTAAGGAACCATATTCATGTCTTGCAGCTGCTCTTTGTTGGGGTACTGGCTGTTGGATGATCCCTGCTTTTRAGTAGATGTCTTCGATAGTGTCTTCATATGTTGACAGAATGTCAACAACAGCATCATACTTTTTCTCATCTTTCATCTGTATTGGTAGAGGAGTAATGACAGACTTCTCACTCATTTCCTTTTGAAATTGATGAGTTATGTGGTTTGGTATGACTGCTTTCAGGAAATGTAGTGCTTCTATAAATTCCACCAATACTCTGCCCACCAACACTTTAAAGTCTTCCCTTAATTTGTGGTCATCATCATCACTTGGTAGAAATGATGCATCTGGGAGGGYGGAAATATCTCTTCGAGGCGCTGCAGTGCTTAGATTTCCACATGGTACTCTTTCGACAATTAGATTTGAGGCGAAGTARTGAAGGTCGACATTTTGGTGGTCAGATCTAAATTKAATGGAAAAGTACAYAAAGTTAACTTGAAAGAGATGTACATATATATGTACTATGCAGATAGTACCTCATGTCATGYGCATGCTGTTTCAAGTCCMAATTGTCCCCAGTCCCTTGTATCAGCTTTCCTTCCCTGACTGCTTCTATTATGTTGTCTGCAAAGTGGTCACCAATGGYATCCATCAAATTGGTCTTGCTTTGGTGGCAAAGAGAAAACCCAACTTTTTGGCATCTTGTGTAAAGCTATGCAAATAAGAACATGAATGTAAGCTGTTGTTTTTTATTCACAAACTGTTATATAGAATAGGTGACATATTTCTTAAAAATGGTCAGTTTYGTAATTTTAAAAGCTTAAGTGATGTCTAATTCAGTGGGCAATTCTTTCTGAAATGCAGYACTATTGTATTGTTTCTAGCAAACAAATTGCTAATTTTATATGTCAATCAATCAATCAATGTTTATTAAGTACCAAAAAAGCATAGAAATACAAAATACAATATAATTAGAGACTTATAAAACAGGTACAAGCTATCTATAAAAATGTAGGCTGTACTATTAAAAAGTAATAATTCATACTGTACCTTCTTCGTAGCATGGCCTTCACTCAATAAAACTGTATTTAGCCTTTGAACAAGGCTAAGCTYGTGATTCCTTCGTTGCATAAGTATACCATAACATAGGCCTATTGCAGGAGCAACACTTGATAAATCTTTTTTGTTACTCTGAACTACTGTTACAAGTACATCTAACAGGAATTTGTGTCTTTGTTGCATTTCAAATATAATGTCCCCCCAGTCGAAGTCCTTCATGTCTCCATATTTATTATTCCTTAATACTGAGCCATCCTTTCTAGTGCAGAGTTTTTGAGAGCTTTGCTCTATTTCTTTAAGTATATGTGTTTTGCAATGAGCTTCAAGACTCTCAACTGCCATAACTTCAGCTGCAATTAGAGCAGGTATCCTTGTTTTGATTGCTTTTGTGAGTTTCAACATATCTTGAATGCTTATTTGATCTGAGGATGTGSTTGTGATCTGCAAAATAATAGTAACATTTAGAAATTGGAAATTGAGTTATTTGTGATGTGATATATTACCTTTGTGTTTTTTAATCCTGATGTATTCAATATTGTACTTAATAATTGCTGTTTGCCATTCAGTTTGGATGAGCTACAATTCTTATAATGCAAAAATAATTTTGATTAGCATTGTTATAACATATTTTCCAAAGAGACAAAAACTCTTTGTAATAGAATTATTGATGATCAGCTGGTGAACAGTGGTCCTGCATAGAATTATTACCCATATGAATTATACCATACATGAAGCATACATGCTATATTTGATTGAATTGTACCTGTGTATAATCATTTTGTCCTCTTGATGCATTTGAAAGATTGGCTTGAACACAGGTGGGAGCACTAGAAATCTATAGGAATAATATTATTAATGGAGTATAAATACATATGAATTAACCATACATGAAGGATACATGCTATATTTGATTGAATTGTACCTGTGTAGAATCATTTTGTCCTCTTGATGCATTTGAAAGAKCACTAGAAATCTAYAGGGAATAATTAATTGAGTATATTCCCTTTAAATTGATTGTTGTCCTTTATTTATGTGAATGCCAAATAGATATTTTTTACTACTACCTGCATGAAATTGTTCTGTGTTACGTTAAGTTTTGCATCCATTTGCACATGTTGGTTACAAGTCTGTAGAAAATGATGTCAGAGTAAGTAGAAAGATATGCCCCCTGTACATACTGTGATGACATCGAGCCATGCTCTGCATCAATGTGCAAGGTATGTATGCTTGAAGTTAAATTCTGTATTAATATGAGATACTGTAGATACTGGATGTACAAACAAACAAGATGAAAAGAAATGCAATAAATGTCATTGCTAAAATGATAATGACAGGAATACTTATGATTTTTGATAACATTTTTTTATGATTATGCAAATCATTACTTCAGTACACAATCACTTGTAATATTACCTTCTCTGGTATATTATTTGGCTGAAATGACAATCCCCGTCTAGAGACAAGTTTTTCTCTGTACCCTTGGAGGCCTTTGGGTCCGGCTGCTGACTGACTGGGGAAAATATCCTACATCTTTTCTGTCTCAGATTTTCTTTTATCTTTGATTGCATGTTTAATGCAGTGAATATAAATTCCTGCAATTGTTGCAATTTTGTTTGGCACGTTCTGCAAACTTTGGAAGGTAAATCATCCCCAATAGAGATGTCCAACAGAGTTGAGATAAGTTCACGAAGATTTTTCTTTATTCCGGTATTACTAGAGATTTCTGTGAAACGGTGACTATCTTTGTCACTCCCACACAGACAGCAAAATATACTATTTCCTACAAAGTACGATTTTTTTGGTGTTGCCATCTTGCAAACCGCGAAAGACAACGCATTTTTTACGGATTTCCCGCTCAATTTACGMACATGAATTTTAAACCAATCAGGAACAAGGGCTTCGGCATGGTTGGCCAATCAGAAYGACAGGATACATTGAAGTGGTTTTCCCCTTCACATACATGTTTCAATATAYAATGGCGCGCTTCGTTAAGTTTCTTAATGCTATAAATCGTGCGCAACGTGCTGCAGGATACGAMGACATATTTTTAAGAGTAAAACAGATCAATGTTTTGGAAAATTTKTACCTGGACAGGGATACTATTGCCGTTCTTCCCACTGGATATGGCAAGTCTGTCATCTTTCATTTGCTGCCATTTTTATATGACTGTCGAGACGATGTATCCCACAGCAAAATACTCGTGGTAATACCATTAAATGCATTAGTAGAAGACCAAATCAGTTCCTTAAAGTCCCGAGGTATCAGTGCATCCATGCTTCGCTATGAAAATCGCATGCTGCAAGACGCTAAAGACTGCTCGGATGACGATTGTGACCAAGAGAATGATATGTATAAATGATAATAGGCGAATCATATTCACTCATCCTGAAGCTTTTGTGTCTTCAAAGGAAGGACGGGAGGTACTACTATCAAAATCATTGCAAGAACATTTCAAAGGTTGTGTTTGTTAGCCCCTTCTAATGACACACTAAGGCCAACGATAAAATAATCACGATACTTTGAATTTAACTAGTTTTATTCCGACTCTTGTGARTCTTAACRCAACCGAGCACMCMRTCACTCMCTCCACGTGTTCTCGTATCATGTTACAAAAATTGTCATTTCCGGCACGTGACATGTTATTGACGAGGCACACCTTATCGAGGATTGGGGTTTCGAGTTTCGCCCCGACTTCGACAAAATATCTCAATTGCGCTCACTTTTTCCATTGGCAACTATGCTGGCTCTTACTGCAACTGCTCCTAAATTACTAAGAGAAAAAATTGAAMAATCGCTATGTCTTCACAAACCCAAGGTTGTASTGGCGAACTTAAACCGTGAGAACATATTTTTACATAAAGAAAAACGAAAAGCTGCTTGCATTGGCCTTGAAGCCTATGAATCAATTCTTAGGCCTATAGCTGATGATTTAAAGATGAAGTTAGTTTCGTATCCACTAACAATCATTTTCCTTCCACTTAAATATTGTGGGTATGCTTACAAATTATTCTCTTATGTGCTAGGGAAAAATAGCTACTATCCTTTAGATTGTGCAAAAGTACCAGAMAATTGTTTATTTGCACAGTATAATTCACCACAGACAACAGATATGAAGAACCAAATTCTAAAGCAACTTCAAGGCAAACAAAACAAAATCACAAGAGTAATTTTTGCAACAGTTGCCATAGGGATTGGAGTGAACATTCCTGATGTGCGTCAAGTAGTTCACATAGGTGTTCCAAGGACCTTAGAGGCCTACTTTCAGGAAATAGGCAGAGCAGGAAGAGATGGTAAGCCAGCTAAAGCTCTACTCTATTATAATGGGCAGGACATTGCAACCAATGTACCTGGTATGTCCGAAGAAATRAGGCARTTCTGCTTACTTGAAAGGAGGTGTCTGCGCGAAGCATTATTGGAACATGGGATCACCAATTATCTTTCCAAGCACAGACCCAAATCTTTGTTGCAGTAACTGTGTTAACACACATCTATTACCCCAGATCTAACCTAGAGTATATATATGTCTGCAGTACTAAGGCATAATATAATATTATTTGTTTCTTATTTTTCTTTGTAATTTTCTTTTACCAAACCTGCATATTTAACAAGTATACCTTGAGGTMTTATAATTCCTGTTGTACTGGGTAGTATAAAATTTAAATACTTTAGTTTGTTGACAACCAGACAACTCAAAGGTTAATTAAGTGCAAATGAATTTGCAGTGAATGCTAACTGAACCAAACAACTCATTGCTGATCATATT